GGCCCAGGTTTTGGAGCTATTCTGCCCTACGTTTTGGGGCTACTCTGCCCCAGGTTTTGGGGCTATTCTGGCCCAGGTTTTGGAGCTATTCTGCCCCAGGTTTTGGGGCTATTCTGCCCCAGGTTTTGGAGCTATTCTGCCCCAGGTTTTGGGGCTATTCTGCCCCAAGTTTTGGGTTTGGAAGCTATTCTGCCCCAGGTTTTGGGGCTGTTCTGCCCCAGGTTTTGGAGCTATTCTGCCCCAGGTTTGGAAGCTATTCTGCCCCAGGTTTTGGGGCTGTTCTGCCCCAGGTTTTGGAGCTATTCTGCCCCAGGTTTGGAAGCTATTCTGCCCCAGGTTTTGGGGCTATTCTGCCCCAGGTTTTGGGACTATTCTGCCCCAGGTTTTGGGACTATTCTGCCCCAGGTTTTGGGACTATTCTGCCCCAGGTTTTGGGACTATTCTGCCCCAGGTTTTGGGACTATTCTGCCCCAGGTTTTCTGAGTTTCAAGTTCAACGGCACAGGGAGGGGGTGGAACCTTCACCTGGCCCCGCTCCCCCCCCAGCAGCTCCTTCCCGGCGTTTTACGAGGATGTCGAGCCTTTCTCGCCCTTTGCTGGGGCCGCCGTGTAAAGGTTTTACAGCTCTCCCCGAGACTCTCCTCCTCCCCTTCCCATCTGCATTTTCCGCTTGGGATTCGGGGCTGGAGCTGAGGACAGGGATTGGGGGTGGGGGTGTCATATCTCCCAGTTTCAGCCCAGTTTCCCACTGGGTGAAGATCCTAACTGGGCTGGAGGTGTCTGGAGATTTCCAGATGTTGCAAGTGCAGGTTTGGAGGCATCGGGGAAAGAGATCTAGATGGAGAGAGGGAAAAAAAAAATAGGGAAAAGAAACGTCTCACTGGAAGGATTAACCCTCAATGTGCCATAGAGGGAAGTTTGGAAAGGAGAGTCTCTTTCCAATAAATCCAAGGAGATTTATTTTATTTTATTGGATTATTTGTCTGCCTTTGGGCCAAATCTGAGGGTTTCCCCTCCTGCCACTTCCAAACACACACAGTAATTGGGGTGAGAAAGTTCATTATTGGTAACACAGACAGGAAAAAGAAACAGATTTGGAGATTTTTTTCTCCATCCAGGAAAACCACACTGATCTTCCCAGTCGACAAGGCACTGGCAGGTAATCGTTTCAGGGCCAGGTTAATTAGGAAAATGAATGAGGAAAATGCCACTCCTCCCTTGATGACGTCACGGCTCGAAACGCTCAGCCATTGGTTGTTAACTTTGCTGGACTTCTGACGTCACTCGTGACGTCACGCGTGACAGGCTGAGCTGCCAACACCACTGCAAAAGCGCAGGGAGGAAATATGTAGGGAAAGGGAAAAAGAAAAAAATAGGAAAAAAAGGGAAAACTTGCCTGGCTCTGCTCCACACCCCGTTGGGAATGTGCTGGAAGTCAGAGCTGGCTCAAGGCTAAAATATTTCATCAATTATTTGTTAAACAAGGACAAACCCGGTAATTAAAATGATCATTATTTAAGGCAAAAGGAGGTGTAAAGCTTCGAATTTCGAACAGGATGAAAAGGCAGAAAAAAAAGGCAAAAAGGGAAAACTTGCCTGGCTCTGCTCCACACCCCGTTGGGAATGTGCTGGAAGTCAGAGCTGGCTCAAGGCTAAAATATTTCATCAATTATTTGTTAAACAAGGACAAACCCGGTAATTAAAATGATCATTATTTAAGGCAAAAGGAGGTGTAAAGCTTCGAATTTCGAACAGGATGAAAAGGCAGAAAAAAAAGGCAAATTGGTGGTGGTGCTAACAGTGTTTTGGGGTTTATCCACCTTGTTTTTGGGGGAGTTTCAGGCAGGTTTAAACATGGCAAAGACTCTGTGAGTCCACACGCCTTGAAACACAGATAGATTAAACAAAGAAATTTTTTGTGCGTGGAGTTGGCGTTTTCCCGAGCTGTAAATCACCTGGAAAAAAAAAAAAAAACCAACCCAAAGCAGAGAAAAACGCATGGTCGAGTCTGTTTAATTCCACCCTATTTATTCTGCTGCAAAGGATGATGATATTTCTTCATATTAACCAAAATCATTTCGTATTACACGGGGATTATCTCAGCACATGCTATGAAACATCTCGCTATAATTCTGGGTTAGTGGCAGGAAAATGTGGGTACAAATCCAGGGATATTAGCACAAAACGAAAAGCACAGCTGGATTGATACAAATTGCATTTACCTGTATCAAAATATAGGCATGACCATAGATATTTGCATGTATATATCGACGTTTGCAACGCGTGTATATACATTTTTATCTGAGTATATATATATATATAAAAATATATATATTTATATCGACACAACTCTAGCACAGATATACGTGGCTATATAGAAACTCACCAAGACAAATATTGGCTATGAGAAAAGGTAAAATAATGCTAAATATTCGCATGTGCCTAGGAATATTTTATATATCACCAAGCAAAGGAGAAAAATAGGACGTGCCTTAATAAATGTGTGCCTACATGTATCATATGCATAGCCTGTACATCCACTTTTCTGCAGATCGTTCAGGTGTTTTTACCTGAATATATTTATTCCCCCGAATATATTTATTCTCCCTTAGAGGATATTTCTGCCGGAATTAAGGAGATTTTTTTTTTTCCCACCGCTCTAAGTACAACTTTTCCTTTCTAAAAGACCAAATTCCCCTTGACTCTCTCCCTCCATCCCCACTCCCACCGCACCTTGGTGAACTGGGAGATGCTTATTGGGGTTGATTAATGCAATTAGGCCACTTTTGCTTGGTGTCTATGTCTTTGACGCTCTCTGATGATGCTGTTCAAGACGAAGCGATGCGAGCACGAAGTGACAAAGGCGTTTTAAGGCTAGAGCAAATTGTACAAAGTCCTCTGCGTGCCAAGAGGGTAGGGATGGAGCATCTCCTCTCCTTCCCTGAGGGATCTCACTCCGATCCCCGAACCTTGGGGCCGGCTCTGCTCACCCCGGGGTGGGGGACCAGTCAGGGACCCCTTGGGGGTTGGTGATGACTTTGTCCTCACGGGGTACTGCTGGTGCTGCTTTTGATTTTAGCCACGACTTTTTTCTCTTTGACGCGCCTGTTTTGGAACCAGATGGTGATTTGTCGCTCCGTGAGGTTGGTGGCGGCAGAGATTTTTCTCCTTTTGTCGCGGGTGATGAATTTGCTGCTGGCGTATTCCTTTTCCAGCTCCTTCAGTTGTCCCTTGCTGTAAGGGACTCTCTTCTTGCGGCCCCGGCGAAAGGAGCAGCCGTCGGGGGGTAACTGTCCAGGGGAGTCTGGGCGAGGGGAGAGATTTTGCTGAGTGGGGACACCCAAGCACCCACCACCCATCACCTCTCCCTGCCATCCCATTTCTTCCCTCCAACCTCCCGACAGCAGATGCATTTCAAGATTTTGTAGTTCAAGCTTGTCCCTATTGAGATGTAAAAATGAGAGTTTTCTTCTCTGGATTGATAAGGGATGAAATTCAGGTATTGGCAAAATATCGAGGTGGGTGAGACTGAATTAAAATCCACGTACTCGCCCCGTGGGGTAAGTTGGATCCTACTGGTGTGGTGTGAGTGAGTGGGAAGAGATTCCCTCGTTCAGGGCCCTGCACTGTGGGGACAATGTGCACCCCTTGTTCTCTTTGGAGTACCCCAAAATCCAGCGCTGTTTGCAGGCAATTCTGGCCCGTGGTTGCCAGAATCGGTTTGAAACTGGATGGACTCACCATCAGAACCTCAATAATATCTTCTATACCACGATAACATAACCATCAGAAGTCGGATAATATCATCATCTGAACCCTGATAATCTCAACATCTCAACCCCGATAATCTCAGCATCTCAACCCTGATAATATCATCATCTGAACCCTGATAATATTCTCATTTAAACCCCGATAATCATCTCAACATCCCCGATAATCTCAGCATCTCAACCCTGATAATATCATCATCTGAACCCTGATAATATTCTCATTTAAACCCCGATAATCTCATCATCTGAACCCCGATAATATCCCCATCTGGATCCCCACAATATCATCTGAACCCCGATAATATCATCATCTGAACCCGGATAATCTCACCATCTGAACCCCGATAATATAATCGTCTGAATCCCGATGATATCACCATCTGAACTCCGATAATATTATCATTTATACCCCGATAATCTCACCATCTGAAGCCCGATATCATCGTCTGAATCCCGATAATATTACCATCTGAACCCCGATAATATTACCATCTGAACCCTGATAATATCACCATCTGAACTCCGATAATATTATCATTTAAACCCCGATAATCTCACCATCTGAATCCCGATATCATCGTCTGAATCCCGATAATATTACCATCTGAATCCCGATAATATCACCATCTGAACCCCGATAATATCACCATCTGAACTCCGATAATATCCCCATCTGGATCTCAATAATATCATCTAAACCCCGATAATATCATCATCTCAACCCCGATAATCTCAACATCTCAACCCCGATAATATAATCATTTCAACCCCGATAATCTCACGATCTGAACCCCTATAATCTCACCATCTGAACCTCAATCATCTCACCATCTCCCTCCCTACTCGAAGGGCAACGATTTGCAGAGCGGTGCTAACCTAAATTATTATTTCACGCAAACTATTTCGATCCAACTCGCAAGGAAGACCTTCTAGACACCAAGAACAGATCTTTAACAGATTATTTTAAACCTTCATCCCCATTTTCCCTCCCGCACAATGGATGTCCAAGCCCCTTTTTCCCCCTCTTTCAACCCTAGGAAGGGATTTTTACCTGCAAAAGCTGATTTCAGGAGGTACCCGGTCTGCCCCTGCTCCTTGGGGCAGCACATCTGACTGCTCCAACCTCCTCCCAGAGCCCAGGGCTGATGATAACCATCCACGGGCAGCAGAGTCTCATGCCTAGGCTCTCCTGGAGCCCCCAAACCAGGGACCACCGACACGTCCAGGTACCCTGCCACGGGTTGGTAAGGTGCCCCGTAACTGGGGTAAAAAGCAAACTCAGCTGGACGACTCTGAAAATCCTCACTGCCCGCGGGAGGTTCGAGATATTTCTCAGCGGGGAAAGATCCCTGTGTCGGGCCACTTTTCAAGGCGCTGC